TGGAAGGCACAGGACCCTTGTGTTAGTGGGAGGCCACAAGGCAAAAAAATCCAGCTTAGAAACAACCCTGGCTCCCAAAAGGGACTTCACTTGCCCTCTATTCTCAAAGGAGGCAAGGGCAGACGTGACACGACCCCCACAGAAGAAGCAGGCACCACATTGCACCGTGGTCTGAGACACTTTCCCTCAGCTCTCCACTAGGACAGGAGCTAGTGACAGGCCTTTCCTGAAGGACTTAGCTGAGCCACAGCCCCAGGGCACTAAGGCAACCACCGGCTACTAGCAGAGTGCCTCCTCAAAGGCTAGTGACTACCTGGATATGCCAGGAGCCACTACACAGACCTAAGTGGGGGCTAGCACCTGGTGCAGTGTCCACCTCCTCTCCAAAAGGAGCCTTAACCCTTATGTCACTGAATACAACAGCAGCCTGCAAGCAATAAGAAAACCCATTAATCTTTGCAATGGAAAAAGCCCAGAGGGCACCCAGCAGTACAATCATCCAGGCACAGCAAGGGCTGGGAGCTCCATCAGGGGTGGGCAGCAAGCAGATAACAGCTGTCAGGACAGGAGTCTCACCAGCCAGGACCTGTCCCATAGTACCTGTATAGGCCAGACCCAGGGATGGCAGCCAGGGTCAACCAAGAGTCAAGATCACCAGGTCTGAGGTCAAGCCAGGAGGTCCATCTGCAGGTCTAGGTCAGCTCCAGCAAAGGCCAGGGTCTACATCAGCAGGGCCCATGGCTGTAACACAACTAGAGAGCAGCACTCTTCCAACACAGACTAAGCAGGAACTGAGGGTCCTGGGCTGAGCTTAAATAGAGCTCCTGGGTCATGGGCAGCCGTGAGTGGGGCCCTAGGTGAGCCTGGTCAGGGTCCTTAAGACTTATCAGTGCTGTCAGGGCCCTAGCACGTATATCCTGTGAACAGGTTGCCTTTTCCCATTTAGGGGCATTTCTGGGGCAAGCAGAGGAAGCCCTGGTGTGCGCTTGGCTGGATTGCGGCGTGCCGATCACACAGGTGGCCTTGCACACAGTGGTGTCTCGGGATGCAGCAGTCTGCACAGCCATGTGGGCCACTGTGAACCTGCTGTGCTGATCCCCTAACCCGATTTAGTTGATAACACCAGGGGCTAAGGCCCTGATTCAGCACCGTACATCAGGCCATGCTAAGGTATTTTAGGGTTAACTCGTTGTAGACTAGAAGGATTGTGCTTTAATTGTGCTATAGGAGCTTCAGGCTGCTCTGGGGCCTGCAGGGCATCAGGATAATGCAGCCTCGAAGACGATACAGCAGAGAAAAGGCAAAGTAACACAGTGCCACTGCTCCTGGCAAAGAGCAGTGGTCACAGGTCTACGTGCAATGGAAAAAGAGTAGCAGAGCTGGTACCCTTTGCTCTGCCCTTCCTGCTCACCCCCTGCACGAGCATGGCCCAGGCCAGGCTGTACCCGCACGGCCCCGCTTTGCACAGGCACGCGAGAAGGTTTCTGCAGAGCCCGTTTGTTGCGTGAGTTTGTACTTCCTATTGGCCTGTTCCATTATCCTAAGAACAAGCATGCAAAGTAAAGAGCAAGTGTGGTATAACCGCAAAATGGAGGCAGGGCTCACATCGGGGCTGGCTGCGCGCTTCGGGCGGCGGCGGCCCTCTCCTCCCTGTGTCCGTGCTGCCAGGAGAAGGAGCTGGGAGAAGTTCGAACCAGCTGCAGCAGCTGCAGCGGGACAGAAACCTCGCCGGGACGAGGCCCCTTCTCAGGGTTTAAGGGCAACAGTTATCAGCTGGGGCAGCCTGAGTGTTGGAGGTATGTCTTTGGGACAACACGAGGAGCCCAAGAGATAAGGCAGCAGGAGAGCACAAGGCTTTCTGATCCAAGCTGGAAGAAACCCACCCTCCTTCACCGCTCTGACGTCTCTGGGTACTGAAGAAAGGCCTCGTTATCAAGGAGTTATTAAGCTTGACCCATTTGTGAGACTAGAGTCAATTCCAGCAGTAACGACGGGCAGGACAGCACGGAAGTAGCCAGTCCAGCCGGCGAGGTGGACGTTTCCCCTGCCCGCCGCCAGCACCGGTGTCCAGAGACCTCGCCGGAGCGGGACATGGGCCAGAGCATGCTCCGGCGGTGCCTGGTGCGGCCCCGCACCGTGGTTTGGGCACGTCCCAGTTTTGTAGCTGCCCTCTGTGTAGGCCCCGTGCACCAACAGAAGCCAAGATCTGCACCTGCACAGATTCATCCCAGCCCGGTGCAACGTGCTGCTTCGGAGTTAGCAACTGTGCTAACTTTTTAGCACAGTTACCCGGCCAGTACAGACCTCATTTAGGAGCAGCAAGCTGGTGTCCAGGCTTGGGCCTCCCTGATGCTGGAGCCTTGCTCAGACCTACGTGACCGTCCCAGAGAGCTGGAATAACCTGTCCAGGCTGGCCCATCAGAGCGAAGCAGCCCGTCACACTGGGACCATCCTGCTGGCAGGGGAGGAGCAGAGGGAAACATGCCAAATCCTACCCGGAACGACTCCCCCATACATCACTTCCTGCAACGCTTTTGCTTAGGAAATACTGCAATAAACAGCAGGCTGAACTTCA